AGAGTAGGCCGCCGGGCAGCAGGCGTGCTGAGCGGGCGGCCTACCACGCGCCTGAAGAGCTTAGAGTAGGCCGCCGGGCGGCAGGCGTGCTGAGCGGGCGGCCTACCAGGCACCTACGGAGCCCTGAGTAGGCCGCCGGGCGGCAGGCGTGTTGAGCGCGGCGGCAGGTAGCCGAGGGTCCCAACTGGTCCCTCCATCCATACCGCACGGGCGACCGCGCGGAGGAAGTGTGGGGAGAGGTACTCGCACGTCCCGCTGCTCGCACCGGGTGCGAAACGTGAACCTATCTGCCGAGGATCTGTTAGGGCAACCCCCTCCTGACTTATGGCGCTGCGTGTCGGCGCGCGGTGCGCGGGGCGCGCTGCTCGCCGCCGTGTAGTGGCGCAGCGTGGCTGGGCGACGCCTCGGATTTCATCTCTTTTCCCCGCCCTGCCCTGCCCTGCCCTGCCCTGCCCGCCCCGGTCCCGCACCGCGCACCACGGTGCGCGCCGCCTTGTTTTTACGACGACGTGCTTCCTGCGGCCCGGACACGCGTCATGCAGCGCCCGGGACGCGTCGAGACGACACCCGGAGCGTGAGGGAGAGGTCCCGGGCCCTGGCCCGGGCCAGGGGGGTCCACGGACGTGCCAACGCGAGAGGGGGTTCTGGTTACACGCATAATGGGCTCCTTTTACACGGAAAAAACACAGTCCTTCGTCCTGTACGTTCGCCCTGGTATTTGATATACACACCGTCCGCAGGATCGAACGCCGCTTCGTTGACCGCTGTCGGTTTACAATTTTTTTTTACATATATTTTTTTTTTCTTTTGCGTGGCCGGCGTCGAGGAGCAAGTCTCTCCATTCATTCAGGGGGCGTTCGGCTCGGGATTAAAACGTCGGAGAGGCGATGCGATATCGAGATCGGGGATCTATAGCTGATCTCCCGCAGAGCCGAACGCCTCTGGAATACACGCACCCTGACGGAATTTCTGGACGGGCTGAGGACGTCCACATCCCGTCCCCTCCGTCCTCGGTGTCCTCATTAGGTCAATTACGTCGCTGGCGTGTCCAGCACCGACACCCCCACGTCCTGAACACGTCGCGCTCGTCCCGTCCCATCGGTCCACATCTCGTCACGCGCGTCAAAGGTGTCCCAGTCAGGTCCTCGACGTCCTGGTCTGTCCGACGTGTCGCGTGACGCGACGGACGGGCTGTCCAGAAATCGTCAGTCCTGTCTTGCTGTGTCCCGGTCAAGTCCTACACGTCCTCGTCCGTCCAGTCTGTCCTCGCCACGTCTAACGCGTCCCATTACACCGCCGTCCTCAACGCGTCACTCGTGTCCTCTCCGTCCACTGCCTGTCCAAAGAGAGGACAGCGTGTCTACACAGCGTCCCGCGGCAATCTAAGCCCGTCCAAGATCTGTCCTTTGCGTCATCTGCCCGTCCAGTGCAGGCTAGCGTGTCCGCAATCCGTCCCGTCTGTTCTTAGGTCGTCTCGCCCGTCCTGGACCGGTCCCCTGCGTCCACAGCCTGTCCAGTCCCATGCCGCCGTGTTCGCACTCTGTCCAGCTTGTCCGCAGGGCGTCCTCAACCCGTTCTAGCTGTCCTAAACCCGTACTGAACCCGTCCTGTGTGTCCTCAACCCGTCCAGAGCACGTCCTCTGTGTCCTCAACGCGTCCATAAGCCGTCCCGTGTGTCCTCTACGCGTCCACAAGCCGTCCCGTGTGTCATTAATCCGTCCTGTGTGTCCTCAACGCGTCCACAACCCGTCCTGTGTGTCCTCAACCCGTCCACTACCCGTCCCGTGTGTCCTCAACCCGTCCCGAACCCGTCCTCTGTGTCCTCAACGCGTCCACAAGCCGTCCCGCGTGTCCTCAACCCGTCCTAAACCCGTCATGTGTGTCCTCAACCCATCCACAACCCGTCCTGTGTGTCCTCAACACGTCCACAACCCGTCCTGTGTGTCCT